AGACCCTTGCCGTCGATAGGGAGGGAGGGAGGGAGGGAGGGAGGAAGGCAGGCAGGGAGGGAGGGAGGGAGGAAGGCAGGGAGGGAGGGAGGGAGGGAGGGAGGGAGGGAGGGAGGGAGGGAGGGAGGAGCAAAGGCAGGGAGGAGGAGGAGGGGAACAAGAACCAGACACGTTAACTAACCCCCGTCATGCGAGTAGTTGGAGAAGCCTTGGAAGGAGCTTCAGTGATTGACGCACGGAGAGCGAGGGGAGAGGGAGAAATGCTGCTGCAATCATAACATATTAGGATTCGAAGTCGTACCTGCGTCCTCCTCTCCCTTCCCTCTCTGCATCCACCTTCCCTCTGCTCTCGGCTCTCAACTATCGTCTACCTCCTCGTTTCTCCCTCAACACATTCTCCCTCCTCTTCGAGCCTCCTTGAAGCTCGGACAGGGATGATATCGCCTTGAATCTCTTGATGTCGGATCACTAGTACGAGCCTACTCCTTACCTGCATCTCTTCCGCATCTACATCCTCGGCCGGAATGCTCAATTCGCCCCCTTTCCGTCCTCCCCATGCCCCCCTCTCTTCTTCCATCTTTCTCTTCTTCCACGCCACTCTCGCTCTCGCCTCCTCCTCCTCCTCCTCTCTCCATCCTCTGCATGTTACCTGGGAACAAACGCGCTGCTTGTCGCCATGACGCCCATCACGACAGCTGCCCTGAGCATGGCGATTGAGGCGGCCGATGTGGGTGCCAACGGGGGTAGCGGCGACGTGGGGTACTGTGTCAAGTTCCAGACAATGGGGTAGGGGTCATTTGAGTAGGGGTGAGCATGATGGAATACCCGTACTATGAAGGGATTTTGGTATGGAAATGGTAGGGTAGTACTGATACCTACCCCTCACAAAATCTATATCCCTTAGACCCCACCCCCTAGCATCTTTTGATAACCCTACACGTCCACAAGGAGTTGTGAAGCATAAAATAATTTTACATTTATATCCCATTTATTCCTACATATATTTTATAGAGAACTCATCTGTTTATAACAGTAGTTTTGAATATAATTCTGTACCAACGTATTTGTTACACCCAGTGTTACCCATACAAAATATAATATGTTTTAAAATATAGTACTGCCTCGTACACAAAGGTCGGAGGTATAAAGGTCTAATTGTCCGTCCCGGTGTTGCTAGGATAACTTCCTCGTTTAAAAACAAGATATAAAACTGTACCATCCAGCTGTTTTCTACCCTACAAAATATCATACAAATAAACAAACAAATAAAGAAACAAATAAACAAATAAATAAACAAATAAATAAATAAATAAATACTAAGAATATATTTACTTAAGTTTGGTGAGTGGAATTGTTGGTAACATGTTATAAAGGATTTGTAAAGGGCCCCACCCCTCACCCCCACCCCATCTTTGCGGGCAGCCTCCATTGCACCGAACAGACGTAACCCTCAGAAATTATGACCCTACCTACCCTTTTCCCAACCATTTACTCACTTGGTGTGGGTAATAGAAGTACCCCTACCTAGTCGGATCGTATCCCTCCTTTGCATCAGCAAGGATCTCTCTACAGCATTACAGTCAGGCATACAGTTCATGCTGAATCGATACCGCTCCTCCCCCTCCTCCCCCTCCTCCCTGCTTCAACCCTTCATCACTTCATGCTTCCTCCTACTCATCGTTCCTCGGGACTGCTCTGCGTTTGTGCTCAGATCCCCCATCGGTGTGCAAGCACCCGAGCTCGGCCTTGGGATCCGGACAAGACCAGTCACTCTAGTATGCTCCATCCCGCACTTCGATGCCAGCATGAAGGGTATGATACGGAGGAGGAGGTGGTGGTGGAGGTGGTGGATGATCATGGAGATAGAGGGTAGGAGGAAGAGGATGGGGAAGAGGAGGGTGAGGAGCAGGATGGAAAGGAAGGGGGTGAGGATGAGAATGATGAGGCTGAGGCTGAGGCTGATGGTGGTGGTGAAGGAGGAGGAGGAGGAGGAGGAGATGGCAATGAGGATAATGATGGTGGAGATGACGATGGTGGTGGTGGTAGTGGTGAGATCATATGGATAGAAGAGAGATCGTATCATGTTGCGGTAAGGTCCTCTTCTGATACAATGAGGCAGGTTCTGAAAGATCCTCCACATCCCTTCCATCGCCAGCAGCCAAGTCTTCTCAAAGAAGCTTACATGTAAAGATCTGATCCATGTGATGATGGCGAATAGCGAATGACGATGATGTTTTGTTTCTGCCGTCTCTTCTTCGAACTCATTAGTTGAGCTCGTTCGGTGAGTTGTGTTTTTCTCTTTTCCGTCGAGGTGTGGAGAGGTTTGAAGAGATGTCAGGTCTTGCCAGAGCATTCTCCCTCAAGAGACTCTCTGCTCTCTCTACCGAAGGCGGCAGTCAGAGCAGAAAGAAGTGCTTCATGGTAACGAACACATTCTTGGTTGCTTCAAGTTCGCTCTCCTTGTATCTGATTTCTGCACACGCTGTTATCAGGTTTTCGTGCTGGTAGCAGTCAATGTCTTAATGTTCGTCCTGGACAAGTTCTCAACGTTGGACTACCTCTCCCTTGTTTGCTGTAAGATCGCATGATTGGTCTTTCAGCATGCAGATGAGCGGGCTGTACTTCAACCACATGCACCCGCAGCTTCATCAGTACTTCACCTCCACCCTCTGCCATGCCAATGCCCAAGTAGCCCGCCGCCACGAAGTTGCTTCTAAGGATCCTGACATGTTGTGCAGCATTTGAGTAGCAACCTGTTCCCTCTCCTGGTCTTTGGGAAGGTACAGCGTGAATGGAGAAGCCTTGCTCTTGTTACAGCTGGCTGCAGTTGGTCGAGGAGGAGATGGGGGGCTGGGGCCTTCTGCTTTGCTACGCACTTTGCGGGGTGAGCAGACGTTTCATGCTCCTGCCCTGTTGACTTGTCACTCAGATCCTTGCCAATGTCGCCAGCATCATATTCTTGCCGTCCTCTACCCTCGGGCTAGGAGCTAGCGGAGCTGTCTTCGGCTTGTTTACCATTGCGGTTGATCTTGTAGAGGAACCGCTGAACAAAGGGGGGGGGAGACGTTGCAGGGCAAGGGAGGCAGAAGGGTGCGGAAACATTGAGGATAGGTGATGATGGAAGGCGAGACAGACAGAGACAGTGACAGAGACAGGGGCAGAGACAGACAGTAGGAGGGCAAGAATAGGGAA